CTGCATGTCCCACACTGGTATTGAGACTGCAACCTGGGCACGTGCCCTGACCAGCAATGGAACTGTGACTCTCAACCACTGAGCCATGCCACCAGGCAGCCATTTCTTTCTTTCTTTTTTTTTCCTGAAATTGGAGTTCCCATCCTATATTTAATGGGAATTAACATTTACAGGGTGCATTGCATTTACATATCCTATAATACAGGAATGATATCTCTTTGCCAGAAGATAAAAATTGTAAATTTTCTTGCTATTTCTTGGTTCCAACTTGATAATTTCTTAAGATTGTAAATTATATAGTATTCGGCTAAAATATTTCTTCATAAATAGTTACAAAACCTGCCAAAACACAAGAAGAAAGTATATTAAAAAAAAAAAAAAAAACACCTGACGTTTGGATGTCACACAACACCAGAAACAATGCTTAGAGACGTGGCGTTGTTCCAGAAGAAAGTGGGTCAGTGAGCTACTAAGCTGAAGATAGAGACCGCCCTTCCCCAGGATCATATTGCACAATGCAAAATGTCAAACGACAGTACCTCAAAGCAAAATAAAGGTCTGAGGATGAAGCCAGCTCACTTGTAATCCTGTTAAAAGAATGAGAGTCACCGTTTAGATCCAATGTACTGGAAAACATTTGCTAGCTCAGAATATTGTATTTGTAAAATCTGCTAAGAAGTCAGCCAAGGATGCCGAAGGCATTCGCCAGCAGAGGCTTGTTTTTCTGGAACCATTTCTAACATTGGAATCAGGAAATCTGTAAACTGTGCAGCATCTTCATGGGGCCACCCATACTTTTCCACAAGTACATCAAAGAGGCTCCAGGGCTTCAGCTTGGTGATGTGCCGCAGTTCTCCTCTGCAATTGAAGAATTTCCAGAATATTTTCCAGATAGAGCAAAGTGCCTTGGGATACTGCATAGCAGCTCTATGATATGGCCTATGTGGTCTTCCTCTCTGGAATAGTCCTCTCCAGAACGCGGTTCAAACAAATAATCTCCCGTCGTCAGCTCAAATGCCATACACACCATGCTCCAGGTGTCAGCAGGTGTGCTTTAACCTGCTCCTATTAAAACCTCCATGAATCTGTACTGACATGTCTGAATGTCTTCTGTGAAGTGTTTATGTACCCAACAAGCATCTCACAGGTCAGCAATCTTAACTCTAACTTTATTGGCATTCTGTGGATCCAGGGGATTCACCAGTAAGTTTGCTGCCTGTGTTTTGTTTGTTGGCAAATCCCCAGTGCTGGAGGCCGAAACCATCCTGCTCTTGTCTTGGGATGGGCTGTTTTCCTCCTGCTCAGTAAGCGGGATTCCTCAGAAAGTGCAGAGCCACAAACCACAGGTTCGAAGGGCCCAGAGAACAATGAGGTAGAAAACTCTGGAAACTGTGACTTGGGAATTTTATTCTGTCCACTTGGCAATTTACCATCCAATTGTTCATAGGAGCTGGTATACGTGTAATCACTTTCTGCTTTTGGTTCATCAAGGTTATACTCCTCGGGGTTTGGGCAATCTTCTTCATCATCCTCTTCATCATCCAGCTGCTGCTCCAGCAGTAATGGGCCATTCCCAATGTGGTCATTGGTTTCGGGTGATTCTATCCAGGTGGGGTCTATCTTCTCGAGCTCCTGTTCACCATCGTATTCATCCTGCTCAATGTTTTCTTTCTCAGCATCTTCTTTCTCTTCCTGGTCCTCAGCTTCACTGTTGTTAAGCACAGGCTCTCCCTCAGCAGCCACTAGTGCTTCTGTTTTTAGTTTCAACTCTGGGCGGTATTCATCATCTTGCTCATTGGAAGGTACGGCTGATGTGACATTTTCTTTTATTATTTTCCTTTTGGCTTCACACTCCAAATTCTTCCAAAAGGCAGGTGCTTTTCCAGTAACTCAGCCTGCCTTTTCTGCTTCCTTTTTTTGTTTTTAGAAAATTTTCCTATAGGTTTATGCTGTGGAGCCATACTCACTGCAGTCCCTGAAGGAGGAGGAACACCGGCTTTCTGCCACTGCATGGCCTCAGCTGCCATTCTTCTCACGTGTGCATCATCACACACATCAAGATGTCCCCTGGCTTGATGTCAGTATGAATGATCTTGCATTTTCTGTGTAGATAATCTAATCTCTGTAATACCTGTCAAATGATACTCCTCACACAATGTAAATGAAGGCCTTGATAGTTGGACTTGATAATCCATTTGAGGAGATGGTGGCCAAGCACTTCGAAGAACATGCAGACATGGATTCCATTCATGCCTGAAATCTTGAAGTCATCAATTAGCTGTACTACCATGCCTTTACTTGGGTCACTGGGATCACTTTCTAGAACACATTTGAGCAATTTTATTTAATCCAAGGCTGTCTCTGCATAATGCTGGGCACTTTTTACAACTTTCATTGCAACAAATTTTTCCCCTGCATGTCCCAGCACAACCAGACAATAGAGAAGTGTCCCCATCCTAGCTTCCTAGTAACATGATACTGACCATTGTGTAGGGAACATCATCAGCCTAAACACCATTCCAAGGTATTGTGGGTCCCTCTATATCCTCCTGATGGTGTCACCTGCTATTGGTGCTATGAACATGATGACAAGTGAATGAATTCATCAAGGGGTCCTTCTTCGCTAACCTTGGGGTCACATTCCTCTGAAGCCTTCTGTCCAGCACAATAATGCCCTGCTGTTGGCTAATTGGGACCTGAGCTGTGTGGGGCTGAGCTGCACTGTCAAGTCAGCAGATCCTCTGGTTAGATTTAGGAAACATGGGTCAGAAGATTCGATCAATAATTGTCATTTTAGCACAAGAGTGCCTGAAAGAGACTCTCTGCCTTTTGTCCACATGAGAAAGTTGTCTCTGTTTACCTAACGCAGAGACATCAGAGATAAGTACAGAGTCGGGAATCCAGAGGTTCCCTGAGGGAAACTGACATGAAGAGGAAACCACACAAGAAACCAGCTCAAATCTCCCTCCAACTGCACCTGCTGCTAGGATGGTCCTTGTGTTCAGGGAACCTGAGCGACCCCTGGTGGTCGCAGCCTCTCCTGCAGGGAGGTTTGTGTCTGGGTTCACAGTGACTTCCGCTCACTTTGCGTGTCTTGCACAGAAATACACGGCCATGTCATCGACTCTTAGGCTGTTCATTTGCAGATACACCGTATTCTTGGCGTTGTCTCTGGAGATGGTGAATCAGCCCTTCACAGAGTCTGCATAGTATGTGTTGCCACCACTCCAATTAATGAGTGACACCTACTCTAGCCCCTTCCCTGGAGCCTGGAGGACCCAGTGCACGCCATAATCGTCAAAGGTGAATCCAGAGGCTGCACAGGAAAGTCTCAGAGACCTCCCAGGCTGCACAAAGCCTCCCCCAGACTCCACCACTGCACCTCACACTGGGCACCTGCAAACACAAAGATGTCCTGGTCAGGAAACTCTCACACGTCCACTGTTTTTCTCACTCAAACCTACTCACATACACAGTGTCTATCATTCTCCATAAATTGTCTCTAAAAACAGCCACAAGGAAAACACAGCTGAGCCCAAACCCCATGGAGAGTCCTCTATGTTCAGTCCTGGCCAGGGTATGGGAACACCTGGGTATCCCAGGGCTGGGCTCCTATCCCAGAGCTGCAGGGTCAGGGCTGGGCTGGTTTTTATGAGCAGAGGGGACATATTTGCATGTCCTCCTACTATATAGAGAGAATTGGGGTTGAATTCTGACATAAAGGACATAGTCCCAGAGTGGGAATTGTACAAAGGTGCTGTCTGTTATAAATTACTCCCACATCCAGGGCTGTGCCCTCCCATAGGACCCAACTGCTCAGAAGATCCATACAAACACACAGGAGAGAAAATTCACACAAAAATGGAAGGTTTAAAATGAGAGATGCTGTTGACAGGCACTAGTAATGACACCCAAGAGAAATCAACCCTCACATTCTGAGAAAAAAGTAAAAGTCCAGGGGGTTCATGTTCAGGAGATGGGAAGTTCCATCTGACACTATTTCCCCTACAAAGTGATCAGAGGATAAACTGAGACCAGAGTGTGAGCCTAGAGCCAGTGGACCAAGTGTTGGGGGAGAGAGGAGAGTCTGTGTTGGCCCCTGGGAACAGAAGCATGAACTATAGAGACACAGACAGAGCTCCTGGATCCTATTCCTTCAGGGGAGTTTGGTGCTGGACGTGTAGCAGCTGCATAGCCTCCTTTGTGGTGTTTACTCTCAACTCTGTTGTAGATCCAGTTTCATACATTTGGATATAGAATTTTCATCATGACTAAGTGTGTTTAGATAGGCTGTGGGTAATGGTTTAGTAATAATTAGGTTGAAAATCTTGTTATTGTGATCCTGATATCTGCATGTGACTCTTGGGACCACCATCACCATGTCCTGGCTCATCTTCAGGTCTCCTGTCTGTGACCCATCTCGGGGTGTCCATAGATGGATGGACCTGTGAGATAGGTTCTGGTGGATGAAGCAGGGCAGGTGGGTTTTACAGGGTCTGCTCTGCCCTTGATGCTGTGGGAAGAGCTGGAGAGAGTCGGCAGGGCTCTGGCCATGGAGATCAGGGTCTCGGACAGATCTAGGGAGAATGTGGACAGTGGAAGGCAGCTTGGGAGTTTCCTTCATTCTGAATTTTGGAAATATTTTTAGAACAAAAGGTGTTCGTTTTCCTTTAAATGTCTGGTGAGATTCACCTATGAAGTTATCTGGTCCAGGAATTTTCTTTGCTGGGAAGTTTTTGATTCCTGCTTCAACTTCATTAGATTAATTTGGTGTATTTAGATGTTTTGATTGTTTCTGATTCAGTTTTGAAAGGATATATGATTCTAGGAATTTAGCATTTTTGCCCATGTTGTCCAATATGTTGTCCAATATGTTGGCATACGGTTGTGCATAGTAGTTTATTATTAACCTTTCTATTTCTATGGTATTTCTATGTTGTTCATTTGCAGATACAACATGTTCTTGGAGTTACCACTGGAGATGGTGAATCGGGCCTTCACAGAGATGGCATAGTTTGTGGTACTTCCATCACCATTAATGCATGAGACCCACTCCAGCCCCTTCCCTGGAGCCTGGTGGACACAGCTCATCCAGTAGCTACTGAAGGTGAATCCAGAGGCTGCATAGGAGAGTCTCAGAGACCCCCCAGGTGGCACCAAGCCTCCCCCAGACTCCACCAGCTGTACATCACATTGGACACCTGAAAACACAAAGGCATCTTGGTCAGGAAACTGTCACATGTCCACTCTTTCTCTCACTCATGTCCACTCACATGCTTAGTGTCTCTTGTTCTCCATAAATTAGCTCTTAAAATAGCCACAAGGAAAACCCAGCTAAGCCCAAACCCCATGGTGAGTGGTCTGTATTTATTCCTGATCAGTGAATGGGAACACCTGGGGATCCTGGGACTGGACTCCTATCCCAGAGCTGCAGGGTCAGGGCTGGGCTGGTTTATATTAGCATAGGGGGCCCCTATTTGCATGTCCTCCTGCTATATAGAGAGCTTTGGGGTTGGATTATTACATAAAGGACATAGTCACAGAGTATGACATTTCCAAGGGTGCTGTGTGTGAAGAATTACTCCCCACATCTGGGCCTGTGCTCTCCCCAGTGGACCAAAAAGCTCCAGGAGACCTGTACAAAGACCCAGGAGAGAAAATTGTCATGAAAAAAAAGAAGAGGTTTAAAATGAGAGATGCCTTTGACAGTCACCAGTAATGACAAACAAGGAAAATCAACCCTCACAACCCGAGAAAGAAGTAAAAGTGTGTAAGGTTCATATTCAGGAGGCAGGTAGGTCCATCTGACACTGTTTTCCCTACAAAGTGGTCAGAGGATAAACTAAGACCAGAGTGTGAGCCTAGAGCCAGTGGACCAAGTGTTTGGGGGGAGAGGAGCATCTGTGTGCATACCTGGGAACCAAAAGCATGAACTATAGAGACACAGACTGATCTCCCAGGTCCTATTCCTTCAGGAGAGTTTGGTGCTGGATGTGTAGCAGCTGCACTGCCTTCTTTGTGATGTTTATTCTCTAGACTCCCTTGTAGATCCAGTTTCATACATTGGGATATAGAAGAATCTCAGTCATGACCCGGTGTGTTTAGAGGAAGATGTGGGTAATGATTTAGGAATAATTAAGTTACGTTCTGAAAATATTATTATTGGAAACCTGATGTCTGCATGTGACCCTTGGGACCACTGTCACTATATCCCTACATGATGGGGGCAACTGGAACCTGCACCTGACTCAGTGCTACTTTGGAGAGGAAGCTACATGGGAACATGATGGGGGATTAACCAAGACTGAGGACACACACATCCAGGATCATTGTTTCATTAGGTTGTCATCTCCTTGTCGTTTAGCCAGTTCACGTTTTCTTCCCTCACTTCCCTCTGAAACAGCCCCATATATTTCTTAGAGTCAAGAAGACACTTAGCTGAGAGTGTGCAGGTGCACAAGTCATTTGTGTGTTGGTTTTGTATCTTACATCTTTCCTGAATTCTAGTTCTATTAGCTTCTCATACAGTTTTTAGGGTTTTGTATTTACAAGATCATGCCATCTGCATACAGATAAGGAGAAACATTTTTAACTTGCTTCTTTCTGATTTAGACATTTATATATCCCTTTCTTGCCTAATTGTTCTCTGTTGTGATGTAAGAAGAAAAGCTTTTATATTTTCTCTGTGTAGCATGATGTCACTTGTTGGCTTCTCCAATGTGACCTTTAGTATATTGAGATTCATCACTTCTACACCCAATCAGTGATGACTTTTAATTCTAAAGCGACTTTCAAGTTTAAAGGCTTTATTTTATATCTATTTATATGATGGTATGCTTTATCCTTCATTCTGTGGACGAAATGTATCACATTTTCTGACTTACATACCTTGAACCATCCATGCATGCTAGGCCGGTATCCCACTTGATCGTGGTAAATGATCCTTTCGGTGTGCTGTTAAGTTTCCTAGTATATTGTTGAGGATTTTTTCATGTATATCCATCATAGATATTGATCTGCCATTGTGTATGCTTTTATTTGGCTTTTACATGAGTGTAATGGTTACGTCAATAAATTTGTTTGGAAGTCTTGCCTCTTTTTTAATTCTTGGAATAGGTCAAGAAGAGTTGATTAAAAAGTTATCAATTCTTATTTGACATTCTGGTAGAATTCACTCTTGAGTCCATTTGGTCATTAGATCTTATTTGCTGGTATGTTTTCACTACCAATTCAATAATTTTTTTAAAATTTGTGGCAATCTAGCCAATTTGGGTTTCAGCTCCTAATTTCAGCATCTACTAAGTGGACTGAGAAATACAACTGTTGATCTTCACAGGGTGTGATCAATTTTGAAATAATAGTTGTTTGCAGACTGCATATTTATTTCATCTGGCACCCAGAGAATGAAATATAACCAAATTTTTATATCAGATTCATAAAGTACAGTGTGTAGCTACATGAACAGTTTTATATCACTGTTCATGGGTGAACACATATCTTTTCCAAAAACAAGTGTGTGACTGTGTGTATGTGGCTGTGTGTGTGACAAAAGGTCTATGTGACTCTGTGCTTCCTGGGAAAATTGTAAGAGAATGATATGGATGCAGGGTGTCCCATGGACAGCTCCTGGGCTTCAGACATGCTCCGGATGCACATCTCACCACAGTGAAGCTAGAAAACGTTGGATCCAGGAAGAAAGCTGGAGGGAGGAGTTTGTTGACTCTGAGGCACATCCCAGCCTCAGAGTCACCTGTCCCCACTCAGCTCTCACACTGTTCATTCGCAGATACAGTGTGGGGCTAGCACTGCTTCCTGTAGGACAGCAGGGGCCCCTTGTGTAGATGGATGTGGGGCTCCCTGTGTTTGGTGCACTGAGCTGACAGCTCTTTTGTGGGTCAATGTGGACCCAGAGAGGATGGGTGAGGTCCCTGAACCTTGAGTGTGCTCAGGCCTTTCAGCGGAGGGAGGGCCCTGAGATCTCCTTGGAACCAGGAGGAGGAGGGCACACAGAGAGTCAGAAAGTGAGGGTAGCTGTGACCTCTGAGGGATGGAGGGGGAGCTGTACACATAGCCCAATCCCAGAAACCCACCTGCAAGTTCAGACTCCTAAGTGAAAAGTTCAAAAGACAGTGAAAAAAGACACTTTTAGAATTTGTGAAGGAGACTTGGTGAAGGAGAGTCCCCATCAGTGCCAACATGTCTCCTGCAAACAGACAATGACCCTTCCTCATTGTTGTCTGCAGTGAGAATATGAGAAGGAAGAATCCTGCCTGGAGGCAGGTGAGAGCTGGAGAGGAAATCCCTGAGCCCAATAGGAAGGCCATTCCCTCCCCACCTCCCTCTGCCCCTGCTCCTAGGGCTGCTCTCTGTGCTGTGAGTCCTGAGCGCCCTCTGGTGTCTTGGACACTCCCTGCAGCCCAGCCCTGCTGCCTGCCTCAGGGAGGTTTGTGTCTGGGCTCACACTGACTTCTCTCACTGTGTCTCTCGCACAGTAATACATGCCGTGTCCTCGGCTCTCAGGCTGCTCATTTGCCGCCCCCACACACACTCTCCCCCTCTGCCTCTGCTACTGGGGCTGCTCTCTCCACTGTGGGTCCTGAGAGCCCCCTGGTGTCCTGAGTGCCCCCTGCAGTCCATCTTTGAAGTCTCCCTCAGGGAGGTTTGTGTCTGGGCTCACACTGACTTCCCCTCACTGTGTCTCACACAGTAATACATGGCCTTGTCCGTGTCCTCAGCTTTCATGCTGTTCATTCGCAGATATAGCGTGTTCTCTGCATTTTCCTGGAGATGGTGAATAGGCCCTTCACAGAGTCTGCATAGTATTTCTGTCTTCCATCATTCCATATAACCGCCACCCACTCCACTCCTTCCCTGGAGCCTGGCGGACCCAGTTCATCCAGTAGCTATTGAAGTTAAATCAAGAGCCTGCACAGGAGAGTCTCAGAGACCCCCTCCACCCCACAGGCTGCTCCAAGCCTTCCCCAGACTCCACCAGATGCACCTCACCCTGGACACCAGAAAACACAAAGACGTCCTGATCAGGAAACTCTCACGTGTCCACTGTTTCTCTCACTCATGACCAGTCACATTCTCAGTGTTTCTTGTTTTCCATTAATTACCTCTTAAAAGAACCACAGGAAAAACCCAGCTGAGCCTCAACCCCATGGTGAGTCCTCTATGTTCAGGGAATGAGAACACCTGGGGATCCCAGGGCTGGACTTCTGTCCCAGAGCTGCAGGGTCAGGATGGGCTGGTTTTTATGAGCAGAGGGAGCCCTTTTTCATGTCCTCCTACTATATAGGGAACTCTCATATTGGACCCTGACATAAAGAACAAGGTCCCAGAGTGTGACATGTTCAAGCATGCTCTATGTTAGGAATTACTCCTCACACCAGGTCGGTGCCCTCCCCACTAGACTCACCTGCTATATGAGACCAGTACAAAGACCCAGAAGAGACATTTTCATAAGAAAAGATAAGGTTTAACATGAGAGATGCCTTTGACAGTCTCCAGTAATGAGAACCAAGAGAAATAAACCCTCAAAATCTGAGAAAGAAGTAAAAGTGCAGGAGGTTCATGTGCAGGAGATGGGAAGTTTCATCTGACACCATTTCCCCTACAAAGTGATCAGAGGATAAACTAAGACCCGAGTGTGAACCTGAAGCCAGTGGAGCAAGTGTTGGGGGAGAGTGTCATGTCTGTGTGGGCCCCTGGGAACTATAGAGACACAGAGTACCCAGGTCCTATTTCTTCAGGGGAGTTTGGTGCTGGACGTGTAGCAGCTGCACTTCCTCCTTTGTGGTGTTTCTTCTCCAGACTCTGTTGTAGATACAGTTTCATACATTGTGATATAGAAGATTCTTCATTATGCCCAGGTGTGTTTAGGGGAAGATGTGGGTAATGTTTTAGGAATAACTAAGTTTAGGTCAGGAAAATGTTGTTATTGGAAACTTTGATGTTAGCATGTGACCTTTGGGACTGCTGTCTGCATGTCCTGGCTCAGCTTCAGGTCTCTTTTCTGTGACCTGTCCTTGGGTGTCCACAGGTGGATTGACCTGTGAGTGGGGTGTTGGTGGATATAGAGGGGCAGATGGGATTTTATGGGGTCTGCTCAGCGTATGAGGCTGTGGGACGAGTTGGAAAGAGTCAGAAGGGCTCTGGCCATGGAGCTCAGGGTCCCTGAGAGATCTAGGAGAACGTAGACAGTGGAAGGCAGCTTGGGAGTTTTCACTCCTCTTGAATTTAGAGAATATTTTGAGATGGATAAGGGTTAGTTCTCCTTTGAATGTCTGGTGAAATTCACTTGTGAAGTTATCTGGTTCAGGACTTTTGTTTGCTTGGAGTTTTGGGGCTCCTGCTTTGATTTCATTAGGTTAATTTGGTCTATTTAGATGTTCTGATTGTTCCTGATTCAGTTTTGAAAGGATATATGTTTTTAGGAATTAAGCATGTTTGCCATGTGGTCCGATATATTGGTATATGGTTGTTCATAGTAGTTTATTACAATCCTTTGTATTTCAATAGTTTTAGTTGTTACTTCTCTTTCATTTTTATTTTATTTATTTGTGTGCACTGTCTTTATTTCTTGATATGTCTGTTTAAAGTTTGTCAATTTAGTCTATCCTTTCAAACATCCAATTCTTGGTTTAATTAATTTCTTTAGACTGTGTTTTATTTATTTCTTCTAAAGTCTTTATTCTTTCCTTCCTTCTACTCACTCCAGGCTTTTTATTTCAGTTCTTTAGATTGTTATCTTTGTTCCTATTTCCTGAGGTGGGCTTGTGATGGTGTAGATTTTCCTCTTATAACTGCTTGTGCTGTGTCCCATAGATTTTGGGTTGTGCTTTCTTTTTCATTTGTTTTAAATTAACTTTGATTTCTTCCTTTATCTCATTGGTAACCCATTCATTGTTCAGTAACATATTCCTTAGCATCAATGATCTTATGTGTTTCTCTGTTTTTATTTTCCTTGTGGTGATTTCTAATGTCATACCAGTATAATCAGAGAAGATGCTTAATATAGTTTCAATCTTCTTAAACTTATTGAGACTTGTTTTGTGTACTAACATGTGGTCTATCCTAGAAAATGTTTCATGTGTGCATGGAAAGAATGTATATCCTGCTGCTTTGGGGTGGAATGCTCTGAAGATTTCTATTATGTCATTGAAGATCTGTGTTTTATTATTGATTTTCTGTCTAGAAAAATCTATCCATTGATGTCAATGGGGAGTTTAAATCCCCTACTATGAACATAGTACTGTCAATCTCTCCCTATATGTCCTTCAAGATTTGCTTTTTTAAAATGAATTTTTATTGATTTCAGAGAGGAAGGGATAGGGAGAGAGAGATAAAACTTCAATCATGTGAGAGAATCATTGATTTGCTGCCTACTACATACCCCCTAGTGGGGATAAAGCCTGAAACCTGGGCTTGTGCCCTGAGTGCCAATGCAGCTCTGACCACTGGTTCATAGGTCAGTGCTCAACCACTGAGCCATGCTGGCCGGGCTCAAGATTTTCTTTATATATTTAAGTCCTCCATTGTTAGGTTTATAAATATTTACAAGAGTTATAGCCTCTTGTTGGATTGCTCCTTTTATTATTCTGTAGTCTCTTTCTTTGTCTCTTACTTTAGTCTTTGTTTCAAAGTCTATTTTTGTCAGATGTAAGTATTGATATCCCAGGTGTTTTTTCATATCCATTTGTATGAAATTTTTTTTCATCCCTTTACTTTTCTCTGTGTGTATCTTTCATCCTGGAGTATGTCAGTTGTGGACACCATATATGTGAGTCTTGCTTTCTTATCCAATCAGCTACCCTATGTCTTTTCATTGCAGCATTTAATCAATTTACACTTAAAGTGATGATTGATTGGTACATATTTATTGCCATTTCATGTTTTCACCTCTGTATTTTTTCTTCTTTTTTCTTTTCATCGTCCTCCTCCTCCTTTTTTTTTTTCCTAGCAGACCTTTAACATTTATTGTAATACTGGTTTGATGGTAACAAACTCCTTTAGCTTTTTCTTGTCTGGGAAACTCTTTGTTTCGCCTTCAATTCTAAAAGCCTTGCTGGGTAAAGTAGTCTTGGTTGTAGGTTCTTGCTTTTCATCACTTTGAATATTTCTTGCCAATCTCTTCTGGCATGAAATATTTCTTTTGATAAATCAGCTGACATTCTTATGGGAGCTGCCTTGTTGTTAATTAACTACCTTTCTCTTGCTGCTTTTAAGATTCTCTCTTTGTATTTAATATTTGTCATTTAAATGATCCTGTGTCTTGTTGTGGACCTCTTTGGGTTCATCTTATTTGGGACTCTCTGTGATTCCTGTACTTGTACGTCTTTTTCCTTCACCAGTTTAGGGAAAGTTTCAGTTGTTATTTCATGAAATAGGTTCTTGATCATTTGCTCAGTGTCTCCTCCTTCTGATACCATTATGATGCCGAAGTTGTTTCATTCCATGTTGTTCCAAATTTTCTTAAAACTATCCTCATTCTTTTTCATTATGTTTTTCTTCTCCAAATGTCCTCTCCCACTACTTTTTCTCCCAAATCACTGTTTTGATCCTCTGCTTCATCCAACCTACTTTTAATTCCTTCCACTGTTTACTTGATGGCAGATATGGTATTCTTCATTTCAAACTGGTTCTTATTCAGGGTCTCTATGTAATTTTTCATGCCATCGTAGTTACCAATAAGTTCATTGAGCATCCTTATAACCACTACTTAAAACTCTATATCTGATAAATTGCTTGCCTCCATTTGATTTAGCTCATTTTTTGGAGATTCCTCTTGTTTGTTATGGGGCCTGTTTCCTTGTCCCCCAATATGCCTGTCTCTTCGAGTTTCTTTCTATGTATCAGATAGAACTGATATGACTCCCAGTCTTTTTGGGGATGCTTTAGGAAGTCGGTGTCCTGTGAGCCCCATTGGTGCAGTCTCCTTGATGTCTTGAGCCTGATGCTCTGAAATGTCCCTATGTGTGTTATGGGGGCCCTCTTTTTGTAATTGGGTCTTGATTTCTCTTGTCCCATTCATGGCTGGTATTGACCTTCAGACTGGCTGACTGTGAGACTCAAACCAGACCAGATCATGGAATTGATATACAGATGTTGACAAATAATACAATACAATACAATGCAAAAAATAAGAACAAAACACCATCAACACCATGAATAAAAACTAAAAACAAACAAACATGAAAGAAGAATAAAAAAAGAATAAAGAAAGAAGAAAAAGAATAGCAAAAAAATTGAAAGGAAAGATGGAAAAATAAGGAATGAGGAATGTAAATGGGAAATAATAGAATAAGAAAAGAGAAAAATCCTATCTAATAAAGAAGAAATATGCTAATTGACCCTCACACCATCACAAAATATGGTGGGGCCCACAGCCAATAAGGAGGGAATATGCTAATTGACTGTCCCACTCTCAAAGATGGTGGCACCCACAGTCACAAGATGGTGGCACCCAGTCCTCTTACCCCACCAAGGTGGCAGGCACGTGGCAAGGCCAAGCCCGCTCCCAGCCTGGGGCACAGGCAAGCTTCGGAAAGCGGTTGCCCAGCTGCCCAGAGCCGTTGAGGCTCAGGTAACCAGGGCCGGCCAAGGCTTGGGCTGCAGCAGTGGCAGCAGCAGAGATGTGTTGGGGGCGTCGCCTTTCTCTGATCGCCCAGTCACCTCCCGCACCTGAGGGCTCCCGGATTATGAGAGGGGGCAGCCTGGGCTGAGGGACCCCTACTCCAGTGCACTAGTTTTCATGCACTGAACATCTAGTAAGAAATATAAAAGACAGTAGGAAAAAAATAAATTTAAAATATAATGAAAAGAATAAAAAGGAAAAATTGGGGTTCACCTCAACAGAGTATGTTTTACCTGCTGTGATCTCCCTTTGAATATGCTAAGTGTGAGGCTTGTTGGAGGCTGCTCCAATGTTGTCTGAAGATGGCCATTGGGTGTGCTGGTTTAGGGCCTCCTGGGAGGTTCTCTGGTGAAGGCCAATCTTAAGAGTTATCTATGCCTAGCCCTTGGCAACCAGTTTGAAGATATAAGTAACCCACAGTTTGTGGTGCCTCTGCTGGGCTTGGCTGTGCATAAGAAGAAACAAGCTGAGCTTCAAGCCTTGTGTTTACCACCACAGAGCCCAGGGTGGGGGTCAGCAAATGTCCCAAGGCACCCCTGGATCCTCCTTTTCCTGCATCCACCTGCTGACTGGCTGTTAACCTTGGTACCTGGAAAGGCTCAGTCTCTTAAAGAGCCTCTGGTGGAATCAGGAGGATGGGGCTCTAGGAATTACTGATCAGACTTCAGGGAAGATGGTGGGTGTGTTCCCCTGCTCCAGAGCCACTTGTCTGAGTCTGTCCAAGATTTTTTTCTGAACTTGGTACCTTGAAACCTTTGGTGGTCAGGCATTTGGGGCTTAGGGAGACCAGAGATTGGGTCTCCCAGAGCCCCAAAGAGCATTTTTCTCAAATCTCCTGTGAGGAGCAGGCACCAGTGAAGTTCAAGAGAAGTGAGTCAATGGCCTCACCAAACCCAGTCTCTGACACCTCCCGATACTTCCCAGACATCTACACCAGGCCTATGCCCCTGACTCCTCAGCAGGGCCTAGAATGCAGGGTGGGGTGACAGGGTTCCAGAGGTGGGGGATTGCTTTCCCCAGGCTGATGCCATTGGGTGGGGATAGCTCCTCCCAAGAAATATGGCTGCTGAGGAATGGAGGAGGGCCCAGTACAGTGTCCAGGAGGCTCTTCCCCACGTCCCTTCCCAAAGCCACCCATCCTGACTCTCCTCAGGCGGGTTCCTTCTGACTGCCCTCCTTCCCTTGGAGCACAGCAGGAGTGGCTGCTAACACACATTTTGCTCCTTGGCCTTTAAAGTGGTGGTTTTTTCTCCAGCAGGCTCTGCTACTTCTTGGCAGACAGAAACCTCCTTGCATATCACAGCTGGGTGCTATGTTGTTGCCTATTCAAGTCTCTGGCACTCCAGGCAGGTGACTGGTCTTGGTATGGGCTTCACACCTCTCAGGGTGAACCTCTGCAGCTGAACTATCCCTTTATCACCTTGGCCTGACAAGCAGGGGAGAGGAGCCAGCCTCTTTTGAGTGTCCCCCCTTCCTTCCAGTCTCCAGGTGGTTTCTCCAGGCTCCGTGGTTAAATGTCTCCTCTTCAGATAGACTTTAGTTGGTAATTCAAGGTGATTGAGTCCCAATTTAATTGTAATTTCCAGTTGGTTCTGGGAGGAGGTGAGAGTAAAATCCACCTATATCAAAACCACCTTATGCCCTCACCCTCTGCATTTATCTTCCTGCAAACATGAAACTTCAACTGTGCTGCATGTGAGAGTGTTCCTACTAATATAGTAAAACTGTTGAAACACAGAGCCATCAGTGGTAGTCACAGAGGCATAGGTCTAGAGAGGCTCCTGGATAAACTGTTATGTAGAGAGGAAACCCAGAACCCTCAGAGGAAACTGCCATAAACACCACCTGCAACCATTCCTGGGGCTGCAACACAAAGTTTGTGGGTCTTGTTTGCCCCCTGCTGGTCACAGCCTCTGCTGCAGGGAGGTTTGTGTCTGGGCTCACACTGACTTTCCCTCACTGTGTATGCTGCACAGTAATACACGGCCATGTCCTCGACTCTCAGGCTGTTCATTTGCAGATACGCCATGTCCTTGGCATTGTCTCTGGAGATGGTGAAGCGGTCCTTCACAGAGTCTGCATAGTATTTCTGACTTCCATCATACCATATAACTGCCACCCACTCAAGTCCCTTCCCTGGAGCCTGGCGGATCCAGTGCATGCCATAGCTACTGAAGTTGAATCCAGAGGCCGCACAGGAGAGTCTCAGAGACCCTCCAGGCTGCACCAAGCCTCCCCCAGACTCCACCAGCTGCACTTCACACTGGACACCTGCAAACACAAAGACATCCTGATGTTCACTGTTTCTCTCACTTATATCCACTCATAATACTCAGTGTTTCTCCTTCTCCATAAATTACCTCTCAAAATAGCAACAAGGGAAACCCAGTTGAGCCCCAACCCCATGGTGAGTGGCCTGTGTTCAGTCCTGATGTGGGAATGGGAACACCTGGGGATCCCGGGGTCACTTGGGGATCTCAGAGCTGCAGGGTCAGGGCTGGGCTGTTTTTATGAGGGGGCCAGATTTGCATGTCTACCTCCTATATAGGGAGCTTTGGGGTTGGATTATGACATAAAGGACATAGTCCCAGAGTGTGACATGTCCAAGGGTGCTGTGTGTGAGGAATTACTCAACACATCTGGGCCTGTGCTCCCCCCAGTGGACCCAAAGTCTCCAGGAGACCTGTACAAAGACCCAGGAGAAAAATTTTCAAAAATGAAAAAGAAGAGGTTTAAAATGAGAGATGCCTTTGACAGTCACCAGTAATAACAACCAAGAGAAAGCGACTCTCACAACCATAGAAAGAAGTAAAAGTGCAGGAGGTTCATGTTCAGGAGATGGGAAATTCCATCTGACACTGTTTCCCCTACAAAGTGATCAGAGGATAAACTAAAACCAGAGTGTGAGCCTAGAGCCAGTGGATCAAGTGTTGGGGAGAGAGGAGAGTCTGTGTGGGTCCCTGGGAACCAGAAGCATGAACTATAGAGACACAGTCAGAGCTCCCGGGTCCTATTCCTTCAGATGAGTTTGGTGCTGGATGTGTAGCAGCTGCACTGCCTCCTTTGTGGTATTTATTCTCTAGACTTTGTTGTCAATCCAGTTTCAAACATTGGAAGATAAAAGAATCTCCATTATAACCAGATCTGTTCAGGTGAACTTGCTGGTTATAATTGGGAACCAATTAAGTTTAAGTTTTGGGAATTTAATTATGTAAGGTCTTGATGCAGATCACTGATAGAAACCTGGTCACCCTCATGGGTTCTGCCTTGTATTCACCATCAGGGTCTGAGTCCATGAGGACATGTGACATGGTTCTAACCAGGGAGCAGGAGAGCATGTTGGGCTTTCCTGCTTCATCAGCAGCTCATTTCAGAAGGACCATCCCCTCCCTTTCGAGTCCCTATTCACATGTGCATGTGGCCCTTGGCAGTGCTTTCACTGGTCAGTACATGATGGGAGTCCCCTGGGACCTGAGGCCCATTCACTGGATGGACCAATGTGCAACACGGGAAAAGCCACCCCGAGGCGGAAGATGAATTACCATGGACGGGAATTCACCACATCTGAGCAGGCACAGCTCCAGGATTGTCCCTTCATTGTGTGGTGATTTCCTAATGGTTTTCCCAGTTCAATTTGTCTCCCTTTTTCCTGAAATAGCCACACATAACATCTGCAGTCATTCAGATAAGGAAGCACTGACTTAAAATTTAACCCATGTTCCAGGTTCCAGGTGAGGGCCAAACTACTGTGTCATGCATCCCAGACAGACAGGTGTCATGGCTGAATTCTAGACAAATTAGCATGTGCACACACATATGCTCACTCGACTCTCATGTGCACAACTTCCAGTTCCCAGGAAGGAATCTCATCCCAGGTTCCTGAGGGGCAGTGGAGGCCCTGACTCTCAGGGGACTGTGATGGCTGGACCCTGACCTCAGGAATATCTGGGTTCTCATCGCTGGAGCCTGTGGGTGTCCTTATATGACAGGACTTTGCAGACATGGTTAAGTTGGGGACAATGGAGCTAAGGGTGCTGACATGGGGATTATCCTGGGCTATCTGCTGGGACTTTCCTGTAACCAGAAGGGTCCCCTTCAGAGAGAAACAAACAAATCAGACTAAAAGTTTTGTGATCATTGAAACCAGACGTTGGGGTGGGTTTGCTCATCCACCCAAGTGAATGAGGAGCAGGAGGGAAACATGAGATAGGGAGGACAGAGAGCTGTGGAAGGAGGTCCTGGGGGAGGATCCTCACCGCTGTGGTCCACGTGGGCCTGTCAGAGAGAAACATGGGGACAGGTGGGTCTGTCAGAGGGAAATATGGGGACAGGTGGGTCTGTGGGGACAGGGGGCCTGAGCTCAGCACACAGTGGCCTGGGCTGCACCAGGGTCTCTCTTGGTGGGAAGGTTTCCAAAACCTACAACAAGAAGAGCACTGAGGATGGTCTCCTCGCAGAGAAAGAGAAATAGAAAATACAAAGACTTGGTGATGGAGAGTCCAAGTCACTGCTGACATGTCTCCTGCAAACAGACAATGTCCCTTCTGCATTGAGAATGAAGTGTCTGCAGTGAGAATATGAGAAGGAAGAGCCATCTCTGGAGGCAGATGAGAGCTTGAGAGGAAATCCCTGTGCCCAACAGGAAGCCCCTTCCCTCCACACCATCCTTTGCCCCTGCTCCTGGGGCTGCTCTCTGTGCTGTGGGTCTGAGCACCCCCTGGTGTCCTGAGTGCCCCCTGCAGCCCAGCCCCTCTGTCTCCCTCAGAGAGGTTTGTGTCTGGCTCACACTGACTTCCCCTCACTGTGTGTCCCTTGCACAGTAATACATGGCCAGTGTCCTCGGCTCTCAGCTGCTCAGCTCCATGTAGGCTGTGCTCATGGCCGTGTCTCTAGACATGGAGACTCTGCCTTGGAACTTCTGTGCATATTTTGTGTTTCCATTGTTAGGGTAAACCCGTGCCACCCACTCAAGCCCCTGTCCTGGGGCCTGTCGCACCCAGTGCATGTAGTAGCTGGTGAAGGTGTATCCAGAAACCTTGCAGGAGACCTTCAGAGAGGCCCCAGGCTTCCTCACTTCAGCCCCAGACTGCACCAGCTGCACCTGGGAGTGGACACCTTTGGAGAGGAGACAGGAGTGGGTGGAAATCCCCCTTGAACCTCCCTGATCCGCTCCTTAACCCAGGGACTGGAGAGCCCCTTACCTGTAGCCATGGCTGCCAGGAGGAGGGTTCTCCAGCTCCAGTCCATGGTGAGGGCTGTGCTGTGAGCACTTCTGTAGGTGAAGGTGTGGCTGTGGGTGATGCCCCCAGGGCACAGACTTATCCATATTTAACCTAGTCTACTCCCTCTCTTTTGCATATTCATGAGGCAGAGTATTTTATAGCTGATGTCTTCACCCCACCTGAGAGAAGATGGATGACATAGGGACCAGGCTCAGTGGAAGTCTGAGGGCCCTAGTCCTTATTCTTTTTTTTTCTTTTTCATAAATTATATCTTTATTGTTGAAATTATTACATATGTCCCATTTAATTCCCCATTGACCCCTTCTAGCCTGACCCAAGACTTCACTATCCTATTGTCTATGTCCATGGATTATGTATATATGCATTCAAGTTTTTTGTTGATCTCTTCCCTTTGTCAGTTTACTTTGCTCATTGTTAGATTCCACATATGGATCATATGGTACCCGTCTTTCTCTGACTGACTTAGTTCGCTTAGCATGATAATCTCCAGCTCCCTCCATGCTGTCATAAAGGGAAGGAGTTCCTCCTTTTTTACTGCTGCATAGTATTCCCATGGTGTAAATGTACCTGAGCTCTTTTATCTGTTCATCTACTGATGGGCACTTGGGCCATTTCCAGATCTTAACTATTGTAAATTGTGCTGCTATGAACATAGGCGTGAATACATTCCAGTATCTTTTTTTATTTTTATGTAGTCCCATTTGTTTATTTTCTCCTTAATTTCTTTTGCCCCAGGAGATGTATCTGTAAACAAATTGCTACTAGAGATGTCTGAGATTATGCTGCCTATGGTTTCTTATACAATTTTTATGTTTTCATGACTTACATTTAAGACTTTTATCCATTTTGAGTTTTTCTTGTGTATGGTGTAGCTTGGTCTGGTTACAATTTGCTTGCACGTGTCTGTCCTATTT